CCGAAGTCGGGCGGCCTTGCACGCCAGCCCAGGCGCTGGGAACAGACTGTAAGGGGAGGCGTGTGCGTCGATGTTGAGGGCGCGACCTGGGCGAGCCAATCAGACGGCGCGTCCCCGGGCGAGCCAATCAGACGGTGCGTCGCCAGGCGAGCCAATCAGACAGCGCCGGGCCTCAGACGTCACTGGCACGTGCCGGGCACGAGGGCCATTTAACCTGCGGAGCTGCCAGCCGGACGTTCGGCCCGAGACTGATGCAGCGAGTCCCCTCAATAAAGTCTTAAATCTTGAGGAGTTTCGGCTACAGACCTGTGATCTGTGCCGGTTGGGTCCCTGAAGTGCCAACGACAAACGCCTCGGGGAAGTCTGTGACGCCCGCGTATGGCTACCGCTCCCTGAGGAAACGGCCAATCCAGTGACAGCGCTGACAGGACGTCACTAAGCGCCGGTTAGACGGAGTTGCCTGATGATTGGCCAAAAGCCGGTGGGCGGGGTCGGTGGCCGGAGAAGGCGGGAAATACACCTTTTCAGGACAGCAGCACCAGATTTCCAGAAAGTTCCAGATTTAAAAACTTTCAGTTCCTGAAGGGCCTCAGGATGGTCTCTGAGGAGGGAATAAAGGGACTTGGAATAAATAGCTGAAGAAGATTCTGAATGGGGTTCACATAGTCTTGAAGCATAGCCTAAACTCTATCCCGAACGAGTAGCCAATCGCGAGTCACAGAGTAGTATGATGTCACTCGGTGCTAAAGAGAATTCTGTCCTACCCAGCAGCAGCAGCAGCAGCAGAGGGGTGGGTCTTAAAAGGCTGGAAGCAGTGATCACTATGGCATGGACGGTTTTCGTGGCCTAGGACCTTCCTTGCCACCGCGACCTCTGCCCCCTGCTCTCACAATCAACAGCACAGTTTCAAATTTGAGTGACCTTTTCAGTAGAGTCACTGAGGGGGTACTCTGAGGGAGTCTCAGAGGAAGGGATATGACTTAAGGGCCATTTGGACCTGGGGAGCAACACTGTTCCTTCCTTGAGAGAAAAGTGGGCCCCTCGGCCAATAGGGAGTCAGGATGAGCCATGACGTCATAGGATACAAGGAAGAGAAAAGGGGCCCTCAGCAAATAAATGCTCTGGGTAAGCTCCTGACGAGACTGAAAAGGCAGAAAATAGCCTCCAGGCGGTGACTGACCCCCAAGCTACCAATAATACCCTATACCTGGAGAAGCTTGCCTCTGGATTCACGTTGAGGGCATCTTTGAAATAAGAGTTAGGATTAGGAGTCTCGGGAAGTTTCTAAAAAGAGTTCCCTGTTCCACAAAACTCCTCTGTTGCTTATCTTCGTTCTTTTCATGCTTTATTAAAGCCGATTCAATGTCCAGTCCATCAGCAAATCCTGTACAAACTACCTACTATATATATTCACAATTCAACCATTTTTATCATCTCTGCTGCTACCACATTGGTCCAAGCCCCCACCACCGTTCATCTGGAATATTACAGTAGTCTCTCCTCTCTACCCCCTTAGAGTCTGCTTCATACAGAAGCCAGGATGATGGCTTTAAAACCCAAGTCGGATCGCACTACTATTATGCTCAAAACCCTCGAATAGCCCAGAGTCCTCGCTCTGCCCTAGGAGGTCCTACGTGGCCTGCTCCCACCACATAACTGACCTCACCTTGTACGCTCCCCCTCATTCACACCTCTGCAGTCACACTGACCTCTTTCTTGTTCCTTTAAAAACAAAGCACACTCTGCCCCAGGGCCTTTGCACTTGCTGTTCTCTCTTCCGAGGACATACTTTCTCATATGATAAGCTAGTTCCCCTACTTCATTTAAGTCCTCCATTAGTCAAGTTAGGCTAGCTCTATTGGCTTGACATAATGAAAGTTGATTTCTTGCTCATGTAGATGTCCCACGCAAGTGAGCGAGGGGCAGTTTTCCACACAGTCATTCAAGGACCCAGGCTGAGAATAACTACCATCTTGTCACTGCGCCAACTACAATCCATGGCATCTCTGATTACAGGGGGGAGAGAGAGAGAGAGAGAGAGAGAGAGAGACCGCGCACTGACTTGTCCCACACAAGAAATAAATACTTTGGCCCAGGAATGACTCCAGCCCTCCCACTCACTGCTCACGTGGTTTCATTTAATTGCATGAAGGTGGGCAAGTAGAATTCTCTTATGTGCCTGGAAAGAGAGAGGAACCAGTGTATTAGTTTTTTATTGCTGCCATAACAAATTACCGTAGTCAGTGGCTGAAGCAAAACAAATATATTATCTTCCAGTTCTATAGGTCAAAAGCCTAACACAGATTTTCTAGGCTAAAATCAAGGTGTCAACAAGGCTTTATTCCTTCTGGAACCCCTAGGGGAGAATATGTTTCTTTTTCATTCCCAGCTTCTAAAGGCCACCCGCATTTCTTGGCTCATGGCCCCTTTTTCCATCTTCAAAGCCAGCCATGGCATGTGGAGTCCCTTTCACACTTTAAATTTATCTTGGCTCTTCTTTGTCCTGACATGTTTTTTTCTGACCACAGCTGGGGAAGATTGTCCGCTTTTAAAGACCCATGTGATTATAAGGGACCCACCCAGATAATCCAGAATAATCTCCCCATCAGCTCAAGATCCTTGTTCTTAATCACCTCTGCAAAGTACCTTTTGCCATGTCAGGTAACATATTCACCGGTTCCAAGAGTGAGCGTGTGAACATCTTTGAGGGCCATTATTCCGCCTCCCGCAGCCAGATATGGGTGAGCACTAGAATTTTCCATCATGTGGCTCTGCTCACATTTCACAGCATCAGAAAGACCTACCCTGACCACCCATTAACTAAATAGCAGCTCCTTCCGATCATTCTCGTTCCTTTGTCCTGCTTTATTTTTCTTTTTAGCACTAATCGCCACTTGATATATTAAATATCTGTCTTTTTGTTTGCCGTTTCTCTGTCTCTTCTACCAGGATGTGCGCTCCGTGGGAGGAGGGGTTTTGTTTTGTTGGTGTCTTTAACCTCTCTATATAGAAAGGTTCATGACATATAGCATATATATGTTCAGTAAATACTTATTGAAAAACTGATCAACGAATGGTCTAACTTTCAGCCCGACTGACCCTGAACTGATTTCTCAAGCATGTGTATTATTAGGAGTCAGAGTAAACCCCAAATAACCGTGGCTTAAACAAGAAAATAGAAATGTATTTATCTCTTGCATAAAAGAGGTCTAGAGATAGTCGAGCCACCGGGAACCTTCTAGCTTTCCTCTCCAGCATCTTCAGAGTGATCCTTTTCGTCGTGGTCCAGCGTGGCAGCTAGCGCTCAAGCCCATGTCGCTATCCATGCAGCAGAATGAAGAAAGGCAAAGAAAAAAGGCCAAAAGGCCCATGCAGCTGACCTAAGGATGTTTTCCCAAAGCTGCTACACAATCCTTTTGTTTTCATTGGCAGGAAGTTAGTCACATGACCGCATTTAGCTGCAAGAAAGGATGGAAATAGAGCCTTTAATTCTGGACTATCTTGGACTCAACTAAATAGGATGTTTTACTATCAAGGAAAGGGAAGAGAAAGGATATTTGGGAAAATTAGCTTACGTGGCTTTATGTCAGACCCTCAGCCAGTCAGAACCCAGAGTATGCTATGACAGGACGCGGTGTTAGGCAGAGCAGCTTTTTGTCATTTCTGGGAAATAGAGGCTAAAATTGGAAGTAGTTGATGAGTGGCTATAGCATTCCACCCCACCTCCTGCTGCTTTGACCTTGGATTTGTGTTTGTTTTGTTCCGTGCTATTACTGTAGCCCCTGGAATATAATACTCTGCAAATATTTGTTGACTGAATACGTGGTTCCTGTGACTATTCACATATACAGATAAAGAAATCGAGGTTCCTGTGGGGCTACACCTTAGGGTGAGGGCAGCGATTCCAACCCAGAATTCTTAACCACCTCTTCGATGAAGAAACCAGCTCAGAGAAGCGAGGAATCTAAGCAACCATCACACAGCAAGTAGCTGGCATTCAGACTTAGTTCTCCAGAGGCGAGCTGTCCAGTACAGTAGCCGCATTTAAATTTAAATTAATTAAAATAAAATCAAATTTAACATTCAGTTTCTCAGTCACATTAGCCACATTTCAAGTGGCCGGCGACTAGCATATTGGACAAAGCAGAATATTTGCACCACTGTGGGAAGTCCTACTGGATGGCTCGCCTCCGGACACCATTTTCGTGAAGATCACAGATATTTTTCATCTGTAAAATGAGGATGACGATGGCAATAACAGGAAGGAGCTCACAGGGCATATTGTCAGGATTAAGTGAGTTAATGTGTGTATGTCACGGGTTTAGAACAGTGTCCCGCACAGAGTGAGGACCATTTGGTTTGTCCTCTTTCTTTAAATGCCCAGTGGCCATACCTCCCCCCGAAGAGGCTAGAACACAGATCGAGAGGACTTGGCTGGGCTCCCCGAGAGAGTGGGAGTCGAGAAGGGGGAAAGAGGGGTGAAGAGGCCAAGAGAGGCTGTGGGAACCACCCGAGCCTGGAGAGTCCCGTCCCCACTGCCTCCCACGGGGGGCCGAGGAGGTGGGAGATGAAAGAGAGGAGCAGGCAAGCCCCATATGTTCCTCATGACCCCAACTTTGTTCCCAGCGCCCGAGACGAATAAGCGTGAAATCCACATCTGGGACCCACTTCCGGCCCGGCCATTCCCTCCGCCACTGGGCACGGAGCCCAGACTGTGCGCTGTTACGGAGGCAGCACAGGTGGCTTCTGGAGCGCAGAGGAGGCCCCCTGCCCACCTCGGCATTGCTGATGGCTTCCTGAGAGAGCAGACTCCTGAACTACATATGAATCCGAGTAGGAACGTGTCCAGCAGACAACTGGGAAAGGGAGCCCCAGTTAGAGGCGACCGTTTGTGCAAAGGTCCAGAGGCCAGAGGGTCTGGTGTGGTGGGAGAGCAGAGGCGAGGCTGGATTGCTGGTGGCCAGGGCATGGGGACCTCTCAGGCCAGGCCGAGGGCTGGGATATGTTTCCCACTGGGGTGGCATGGGAGGTCTTGGAGCGGGGGAGGGGCAGAGTCAGCCCTGTGTGACCAACAGTTACATGGACAATCGTTGAGGTGGCTCGATTCAGCGAGAGAGTCCAGAACCCAGCCTGGAGGTCAGTTGCCTTCTTGGCAACTTCTCTCAGAGGAGGTGACGTCTGAGGTAGGCCTAGAAGGACAGAAGGAAGATTTGGCCATGACGAGAAAGGCTGAGGGGTGGGGACTTTGTCCAAGGGTGCTAAGAGCTTTGAGATAGGCCCCCTGGAGTCCGTGGAAGGTGGACTGGAGGGGGAGGGAGGCTGAGGGGCAGCGAGAGGCTCACCTCCTCCAGGAAGTCTTCCCTGAACTCCCAGGCCGGGCCCTGTGTCGCTTCCCTGCTCGGCCACTTCCTAACTACAACTCTGGGGAGAGGACACTGGTGGGAGAAGATGAGGTCCGAGCTGGGGCTAGAGCTATGGGGACAGAAAGAGAGTCAGGAAAATATCTCCTACACCAAGAAGCCTTCCTCTTAAGCCTCATGCAAAAAAATAATTGTTTTAACCCATTTCTGAGTGCGACAGTCTCTATATTTTACTTCATTCACTCGCTCATTCTTTCGTTCAACGTATTGTCCTGAGGTCTTCCTGGGAAATGCCAGGACTGAGACCTGAGCCAGAGCCAGGACTTGCCCCCGAGGGGGTCCCAATCTGGGAGGGTTGGGTAGGGGAGACACCTAGGTCCAGTCACATCTGGTGCGCTGTGTGACAAGGGAGACAGCACAGGACCCAGCCTGGGAGATCAAGGAAGACTTCCCGGAGGAGGTGAGGCCCTCCCTGGGCCTTGCAGAAAATTCAAGTGTCTCCCAGGCAGTTGGGAGGGGGGCAGAATCTCTAGGGAGAGACATCAGGAGCATCTTAGCATCTTCATGCCCAGTTTACCTCTTGAGGACCCCCGTGTGCCCTGTGTGGAGTGATGCTGGGGATCCAGAGACGGTTCAGGCCTGGGCCCCTGAGGGAGGACACACAGGGACACCCAGTCCCCCTCTGGTGAGACCTGTGCTCTACCAGAGGTAGCACAGGCATTGGGAATGTCCGCGGTGGGTGCCGACCCAGCCCAGGGCATCAGGGAGGGCTTCCTGAAGGAGGAGAGCCGAACCGTATAGGTCGAGCCTGCCCTTCCTGCTCTTGTCTTTCCCTCCCCATGGAGCTCTGGTTCCGCCACTGTCCCTGCCCTTGACGAATTCCATGTTTTTCTTGTTTCTACACACTTCTGGGGTTGGCTGCCATAAAAAAATTACCATAAACCGTGTGGCTTAAAACAACAGATACTTATCTTCTTATAGTTCTGGACGCCAGAAGTTCAAAATCAAGGTCGGCAGGGCCACAGTGCGTCCGAAGGCTCTTGGGGCCCTCCTTGTCCCTTCCAGCTTCCTGTGGCTCCAGATGCTCCTCGCCTCGAGGCTGTGTCACTCAAACTCTGCCTTCCATCGCCATCTCCTCCGTCTTGACTCTCCTTTCTGTCTTTCTCTTACGAAGACTCTTGTGATTGAACCGAGGGTCCACCTGGGTAACAGAGGACGATCTCATCTCAACATCACTAGCTTAATGACACCGGCAAAAACACTTTTGCTAAATAAGGTCCATTCGCAGGTACTAGATGGACATCTTTTTTTGGTGGGGGGGGGCACCCATTCAATCCACTACGTCTTGGGTGAGCCACTTCCGTCTCTGAGATTCAGTGTTCTTTCTGAGTGCTGCCCCCCCCAGCCCCCCACCTCTCGGAGCAGCTTTGAGGGTTGAAATGAAGCCTCCAGGTTTTCTCCATCCATCTTTTCTTTGCTTCTCTTCCCTGCGTCTACACTTTTTAACTGTAACTCTGGGCAAAGCACTTATACCCTCTGACTTGGTGTCTTCATCGATGGGATAATAATAGTTTCTGCTTCATAGGGGAGCTGTGAGGATTACTATGAGTGAGTTAGTTCATCGTTATGCTCACAACTTTGCCTGGCAGGTAGTAGATGCTTTATGTGCTGGCTGTCATTACCGTCATCGTCGTCTTCTTCATCATCATCATCATCATCATCATCATCATCATCATCATCACGACTACTGTCTTCCAGTGTCTCTCCCACACATTTCTGTGTTTCTGAATGTGTCTCACCAACCTCAAAGCCTCACAGGTATTGAAGGGTCCGTCTCTCTCCATCGCTCTGTCTCTTCCCTCCCCCAAACTGTGATGATTTCAAAATGAGCCCACAAATTCTTTAATACTCTTCCCTGCAAGAAAGGAGCCTAATCTCTCACTTTGAGTGTGGGCTGGACTTAGTGACTTGCTTCCAATGAAAAGAATAAAGTGATGATGTGTCACTTTGGAGATGAGGTCATGTAAGACACCTCTTTCTCTTTATTTCTCTCTCTCTCTCTCTCTCTCTCTCTCTCTCTCTCTCTCTCTCTCTCTCTCTCTCTCCCAATCAATCGTTCACTGTGGGAGAAGCTGGTGGCCATGTTGTGAGAACACTCAAGCGCCCTATAGAGAGGCCCCTGTAGCAAGGAGCTGAGGCCTCTTGCCCACTACCCCTTAGGTAAGCTTGGAAGTGGGTCTTACAGCCCCAGTCACGCCTTCAGATGAGTGCAGCCCTTGCCTAGAGCCTGAGGGACTCTGAGCCAGAACCGCCCAGCCAGACCTTTCCAAAATCCCTGCCCCTCAGAAACTGTGAGACAATAAATCTGTTGCGTTAAGCCACTAAGTGTTAGGGTTGGTATGTGGCCATGGATAATTGAAACATACTTTCTTTCTTGTGCTTTCTGTCTGTCTGCAATTCTGCCTCCCCCTGGCTGTCTCTACCTCCCTCCACCTCTAGGTCCTCGAATGCCTCTGTCCTTCCGACTCCGCATAGTCCCTCCTTATAGGTCAGTTGGTCTGTTTCCGGGTCTCTCTCCCTCTACCTGGGTCTCTCTGTCTCTGCCATCTGGTCCTCCTCGTCGAGATCTCTTTCTCTGCACGAGCGTCTCTATTTACAGAGTGCACGTGGGTCTGCCTCTTTCTCCTCTCCAGGTCTGTCCGTAGCTCTAGGTGCGTGTTTCTGTGTCTCTGTTTTTGGATCTCTTTTCTATTTCTGTCTGTCCCCACTGCCCCCACCTGGCATCTTGTTCTTCCATCTCCCACCTGCCAGGTGAGTCTCTCTCTGCTTCTGTCCCTAAGCGTGTGTCTCTATGTTTGTCTCTCTGTGTGCCTCTGTATCTTTTCTCTGCCACCATCTGTAGCCCATTTTGTATCTCTTCCCCTCATTCTGGGTCTCTCTCTCTCTCTCCATCTCTCTCCGTATGTCTCGCTCCATATGTGTCTCTGTCTCGCTCCCTCCTGCCCCACCGCCCGCCCTCCTGTCGCTAGCCTACGGGGATAGACGTCTCCCCGCATCCATCTCAGGCTCCCTTTCTCTTCGAGGAGCCTCTGCATCTTCCAACCTCACCTCCCGCTCTCTCGCTGGGGCCTTCCTGGCTCCTCCTCCCCCGCACCACGTTCTCTCTCTCTCTCTCTCTCTCTCTCTCTCTCTCCTCTCTCTCTCTCTCCCCAGGTCTCTGCCTCCCCCTCCTGGTCAGCGGCCCACACCGCACCCCAATCTCCCAGGGGATCCCCCAGCCAGGTTAAGGCAGCCCCTGGTGGAGACCGGAGGGGAACACTGCGCGGGGGCTGCAGACGCTGGTACAGGCTCCAGCCTGGGTTCCCGAGAGCTGGGGGACCCCGGATCCTCCCGAGCACGGCCTTGAGCACGCAGACTTGTGAGGCCTCTCCCAGCTCCACCTTAAGCGTCCCCCCTCCCCCCTTCTGCGGAGGATGGGAAGTGCCAGCTCCAGCCCCAGGTGTCCGGGCCACCCCCACCCCCTTGGCCCCAGTGCGGCAGGGAGCTGGTGACCAGCCCCCAATGACCCCTCCATCCTTTCCCTCTGGCAACACACACACACACACACACACACACACACACGCACACACACACTGGCCCTAGGAATGTTCTCTGCTGTGAGAGCACCCGCCCCCCCCAACATCCACAAAAAAATTAAATAGAGAGAGAGGAAAGGGAGGAGGGAGGAAGGGATGAGAGAGACGGAAACAGAAGAGGCAGGAGAGGAGGAGGTGGCGAGAGATAAAGGGGAGAGAGAGAGGAGCTTAGAGAGGTAGAGAGAGAGAGAGGAGGTGAAGCGGGAGAGAGAGAAGCAGGAGCAGAGGAGGGAGAGAGGGAGGAGGAGGAGGTGAGGGGAGCACAATGGAGACATGGAGTTAGGCGGCTTGGGAAAGCTCAATGCAAAGAGAGCCCAGAGGGGGTGTGGATTAGGGACCAAGAGGTGACCCCGGGAGAAGCAGAAGGCAGAGAGAGGAGTGGAAAGATCGGGAGGCAGAGGGAGACTGGAGGGCCGGGCGGGGAGAAGGAGAGGCACAGAGCCGGGAGACAAGAGTGGGTTGGGGTGTTCGGTCCCCGGTGGGGAGGAGAGGGAGGCTGGAAGTCCTGGAGGAACAGGGTCCCACAGACAGGAGAGGGGACAGCAGAGAGAGGGGGGCCGGGCACTGGGAAGGGGTCGCCCAGAGGCCTCCCGGGCATGGAGGGTGCAGCTCGTCTGAGCGCCCCTCGCGTGCTGGTTCTCTGGGCTGCGCTGGGGGCGACAGGTAAGGCCTGGCGTCGGGGCGGGAGCCCCCGGGGGCGGAGAGGGGCGGGGTGCCGAGGAGAGGGGCTCATGCTGCTCTCTCCCCAGCTCACATCGGACCTGCACCTGACCCCGAGGACTGGTGGAGTTACAAGGAGAATCTCCAGGGAAACTTCGTGCCAGGTGCAGCCGGGGCGGGGACCCGGGCGTCCGGGCCCCTGGGTGGCTCCTTCCTGGGTCCCGGGGAGCCTCTCCTCGCTGGGAGTTCCAGCCCCTCCTTCCCTGCCTCAGGAGTTCGGCCCAGCCTCTGAACCCCAGCGGCTCACCATGGGACATTATCCATGCGCATTTCAAGCAGCGAGTGGGGGAGTGAGTGGGAGGAAAGCGGGTGTGGGGGCGGAGGGCTGTGTGTGTGCGGGCGCGTTTGCCGGGAAAGAGGCAGGCAGGTCCTGGCTCTGCTGGGAACCAGAGCTTCGGTGGCTACGTCCCCCGCCTCGTCCAGCCCTCTCTTGCAACTCCTCTCCCCGGTACATTCATTATCCAGCTGAGCTGCAGGGGAGTCGGAAAGAACTACAACTCCCATGGGCTCTGGGGCAGTGGGTGGCCGGCAGCCCTAGGGCCTGCTGGGAGTTGTAGTTTCTTCCCCCATGACTTCATTTAAGATGGGTTTGATGGAGGAGAGGCTTGGAGGTGTTCGGGGTCTTAGGAAACTCCTCCAAGATTCTTCTAGGACCCAGGATTCTGGATCCCAGCTCCCTCCTCCCTCATTCCCAGGAGTCCAGGTCCCCAGCCCTTCCTGTCCTGGGATCCAGAAGTTCAGACCACAGCCTCCTCAGCAGATGCCAAGATTGTGATCCCGATTTCTGACTCTTTCCTCTCTACCTTGCCCCCACCCCAGGGCCTCCCTTCTGGGGGCTGGTGAATGCAGCCTGGAGTCTGTGTGCGGTGGGGAAGAGGCAGAGCCCCGTGGATGTGGAGCTGAAGAGGGTCCTTTATGACCCCTTCCTGCCCCCACTGAGGCTCAGCACTGGGGGAGAGAAGGTAAAGGGCCTGGAGGGAGGGCTTACCGAATCCACTGGGGTGAGCATGAGTGGAGGCTGGGTAGGGTGCTGAGGTGGGAGGCCAGCCTTGGGGAAGAAGGGGTACATGCCGGAGGAGAGGAGACTCCTGCCACTCCAAAATGGATTGCCCTTACCACAAATGGCTCCCCATCTCTCTATCTCCATAGTAGCCGTGGTTAAAACAGATCATTTCCTGTGTCAGGAACTGTCTTAAAAGCCTGCTAAGCCCTCCGATCCTCAGAGTAACCCTACGAATAGGTGTTATGATTACCCTTATTTTATGGATGCAGAAACTGAGGCACAGAGAGGTTAAGTTACTTGCCTGAGGTCACGCAGCTAGAGAGTGCCCGCGCTGGGATTCGAACCCACACAGCGTGGTCCCAGCATCCACGCTCTTGCCCACTCGGCAAGGCCATTTCTTATAAGAGCCCACACCATCCTTCTTCACTCGGCTGCCCCAGCTAAAAGCCTCGGAGCCGTTCGCCAGCCCGTTCTCTCCTTTACTCCCATTTCCAGTCTCTGTCCTTTCTAGTCTCCCTGCTCCATATCATTCGAATCTTTTCCCTTCTCGTCGCCTCCGCTGCCCCCATCGTCCTCTTGCACCTGGACTGGTGCCGTCGCTTCCTCCCTGGCTCGCCTCTCTGCCTCCTGCAACCCATTCTCCACGCCACAGCTGGAGAGATGTTTAAAAACACAAACCAGATCAGACCGCTCTCCTGCTCAAAATCCCTCTACCAGAATAGGTTTTAACAGCAAACATGTAATAGGCTGTACCACGTGCCCGGCACTGTGCCGAGTGTGTTATAGAGATTCAGATATTTAAATGAAAATACAAAACACCCCCTCGTTGCCCATCTGGCTCCCATCACCGTCCCCCCCTTTGTGGACTGGGTTCTAGTCCCGCTGGCCTTTTTGCTGTCACTAAAACAGACCATCTCTGGGCCTTAGCATTTGCTGTTCTTTATTCCTGGAATGTCTTCCTCGTCCTTTGCAACTAACCCCTACTTATCCTTCAGGTCTCCATTCGAATGTCACCTCCTCGGGGAAGTCTTTCCTGACCTCCCCCTCCACTCCCGTCTAGGCCAGATTTCCCATCACACTTTCTCAGAGCTCCCAGTTCTTCCCAGCATGAGCGCAGGATGTAATTCATTAGGCAGTGACTTACTTATGTGATTCAGTATTTATTGTGTCTCTCCCCAGTTAGAACATATGCTCCACGAGCCCTAGGATTTTTGTCTACTCGTTCACTGTTCTCTTCCTGGCATCCATGGCACGTAGTAACAGCTCGATAAATATTTAATTAAGTAAATTCATCGATATCGAGCGCCGACTGTGGACCAGCACAGAACCTGGAACGTCGGTGCTCAAACTGTGCCGAATGATTCAAGGATTGTCGGAAGCCGGAAATGGTGTGGACATGGGAGGAAAGAGGACTTTTCTGTGTCCTTATGACAGCTTCCACCTCTCCCACAGCTCCGGGGAACCCTGTATAACACTGGTCGCCACGTCTCGTTCCTGCCCGCACCCCGGCCCGTGGTCAACGTGTCTGGGGGTCCCCTCCTTTATAGCCACCGACTCAGTGAGCTGCGGCTGCTGTTTGGAGCACGTGATGGGGCCGGCTCTGAACACCAGATCAACCACCAGGGCTTCTCTGCTGAGGTGGGGGCACCTGACCTCTGACCCTTGACCTCTGCCCTGAGTAGACCCGACTCCTCCCAGCTCACCCTCCTCTTAATGCCTCACCGAATCCTCCCTACGTAACTGCGCCCCCACCCTGAGCACTAGTCCTTAACCTGATTTGGGAACCCCAGAGCTGCACCCATTCTCTCCTCCCCTTCTGCTAGGGGACCCCACTCTCTGTGCTCCCCTCCCAGGTACAGCTCATCCACTTCAACCAAGAACTCTACGGGAACCTCAGCGCCGCCTCCCGAGGCCCCAATGGCCTGGCCATTCTCAGCCTCTTTGTCAATGTGAGCCCAAGCGGGATTCAGAGGGAGGGAGGGGCCGGGCACCTGGAAAACTCTGGGGTCTGAGGAAGAGGGAGGCTGGGAGGCCCAGACTCCTGGGTCCTGGGCGAGGAAGGGATGGGGGGCTTGGACTTCTGGGTTCCTACTTCCTCACCTCCAAACCCTACACAGGTGGCTGGCAACTCAAACTCATTCCTCAGCCGCCTCCTGAACCGCGACACCATCACCCGCATCTCCTACAAGAGTGAGTCCCCGGTGCGTTGGTGGGGGGGCGTGCACAGGAGGGGAGCTCAAGAGAGGCACGCTTCCTCACTCTGGCATAATACACCTGCAGATGATGCCTACTTTCTTCAAGACCTGAGCCTGGAGCTCCTATTCCCCGAATCCTTCGGCTTCATCACCTATCAGGGCTCTCTTAGCACCCCGCCCTGCTCGGAGACTGTCACCTGGATCCTCGTCGACCGGGCCCTCAATATCACCTCCCTCCAGGTGACCCTCGGTCTGCCTCCCCTCTGTCCCCCCCACCACCGTTGCCTCATGTACCCTCCTTCCCCAAGTTTACTGGGAGCTGGAGGGGGTGAGAGGGTCAGATAACCCTGGAGGGTGGGTGGGGTGGGACTGACCAAGGCCCTTATTACCCGCTCCCAAGGGCGGGACTTCCTGCGTGACGTCACCAGGACCATTCATATTCACTCCCAGTTTCCCACTGTCCTCCCGCGACAGATGCACTCCCTGAGACTCCTGAGCCAGAATCCTCCATCCCAGATCTTCCAGAGCCTCAGTGGTAACGGCCGGCCCCTGCAGCCCTTGGCCCACAGGGCCTTGAGGGGCAATAGGGACCCCCGGCACCCGGAGAGGCGCTGCCGAGGCCCCAACTACCGCCTGCATGGTATGGTCCAGTCTGCACCCCTCCTCCACGTCTTGGTCTAACCCGCCTATGTCTTTCCCCATGGTGCAGTATGGTACAGTCCTACCACCCTTTGCTGCTTCTATATGGTCCAGCCTCCTACATTCTCACTCTTCCCCGCTCCTCCCTATGTGTTAATGTGCTACGATCCACCTCCCCGCCGGAGACCATTGCTGGTCCATGATTTGTCTTCCCTCTTCACTGCTTGCAACTTGTAACTTAGCCTATAACCCGAGCCCCCTGGCTTCCCGGTGGTCCGTGGTTCCTAGTACGATGGCTTTCCAGAGTGGTACAGTCCGGATTCATTCCCTGTTTCCTTGTGGGATACCCTACATTTGGGCTGTTCCATAATCCGATCGCCCCCACCTTTGCTGAAAATCGACATGGTACAACCCCCTTCCCTTCCTACTGCCTCCTCATGGTTCAGCCCAGTGAGCTAAACGGCCACCTTTCTGGTTTCTCACCATGGTACAGTCCCGACCCCTCCAAGAATACCTTCGTGTAGCTCAGCCTAATGCTGAAACTGGACGTCCCTATTCCACTTCTGCTGCCTCCCTGCGGGTCGGCCCACTGCCGGACCATTTTCCCCAGCTTCTCAACCTACTACACTCCGGTTCCCGCTTCTCAGCCTCCCAGTGGCAGAGCCCTCCGCGGCCCAGCCCCCCGTTGCCGGCACAGTCCATCCTGTGGTGCCCTAAACTAACGCGTCCCACCGGTGTCGTCTGTCTTACAGTGGATGGTGCCCCCCACGGTCGCTGAGACTCCCCATCGAGGATTGCGCCTGCCCTTCCCGACCCTCCCCACGAGGAGAGGGGAGTCACCCCCAAAACAAAGCTATTAAAGGGACAGAATACTTCCTGTTTCTCAGTGGTCTGATTTTAGGCGCGGAGGGGAAACATTTGGGTATTACAGAATAGTAGCTTTCTTCTAGAAACCAATCTCCCACTTCCTAAACCCCATCACTCGGTTTTTGGCTTCCTGGTACCCCAAACGGTCATTTGGATATGCGGCTCCTTTAAGCGGAGCCTCTTCCCGCGCCCCCCCTTACCCAGTCCGGGGGTCAGGCAGCACGCGCAGAGCCATGTGCTTCCCCCTCCCGCCTGCTTCATTGGCTCGAACTGGGTCACGGTCCCGCCCCCAACGCCGTCTCCCATTGGGCAAATGTAGGTCAGGGTCCCGCCTCCCATCAAAAAGCAATGCAACTTCACGCGTTGAGCCCCTCCTGCGCCCTCCTGGACCTTGGCGGATCCAGGGGTCCCATTGGCTGTGCGTCTCGAGGGGTCCGGACGCGATTGGCCCGCACTTTCAGCCCGAGGGAGGCACGCGGCTGGGGTGCATGGCCCAAGAGGCGGGAGGGGCAGGGCGGGCGGGGGCCGAGAGGAGGGGTGCTCACAGTGGCGTCGGGTGTTTTGGTTTGGCTTTTTTTTTTTTTTTTTTTCCGCGAAAGAAGTTTGCTTTGGCCACGCCTCAAGGCGGCCGCCTCCTCCTGCCCCCTCCCCCGCCCCTCCGTGCACACCTCTTGGTGCAGATTGCAGAGCGCCTTCCGTTGAGAGAGCTGCAGAATTTGCAAGAGCCAGGCTCGCCCACCTTGTAGAAGGAGCTTCTCGAGTCCCCTTAAATCCTCGGTTGCGAAGAGCTGACCGCCTGGTTTGATCACCCCGCGTCGCCCAGACTGCATGGTCTCCGGGGACCCTCTAGAGTTGCACGTTTCGGCACCGAGGACTGCAAATCCCCGTCGCTCCTAGGATTTACTCTGTTCTGGATACTGGAATCTTGCAAGCTACGCTCGCCCGCCCCTGGGCAGACACTGGCTGGCCCAAACCACAGGAGTGTACCGCCGTCTGGCAGGCCAACTCTTCGCCTCTCCATGAGCTCGTGAGCCTGCGGGCAGGTGCCCGGCGATGTCGCGGCCTGTGAGCGACAGGACCCCGGTCCCCCTGCTGCTGGGCGGCCCGGCCGGGGCCCCCCCTGGCGGGGGAGCGCTGCTTGGGCTGCGGAGCCTTCTGCAGGGGACCAGCAAGCCCAAAGAACCAGCCAGCTGTGAGTTCTAGCCCCGACCTCGCCCAACTCAGACATCCTACTCCCTTAGGGACTCCAGCGCTAAGGGAGGGGGGGTCCACAGCTACCCTCTCCGGGCCGAGAGTCCATCTTCCCACCTTTATCTAATCATGTACTAAGGTGTTTAGGCCTTCAGATCTCTCAGCACCCAGTACTCAAAAGTACCAGCTCTCAAGCCCATCCACCCCGAGGACCCAAGAGCCTAGGCCCCAGCCCCCTCTTCCTTTTGGTTACGAGAGTCTGCACCCTTGGGGTCCAGGGCGGAGGGATGGGGTGTGTCGGATGCTCACACGGTAGTGACACGGGCTTGGGCGGGGCCTCCTGGGGTCACATGGAGTCTAGGGATGAGGAATGTGCCCCAGGAATAGAGCCCCTTCCTGCCCCTTACAGAGTGTGGGGGTGGGGAGAAAGGGGTACAGTGCTGCAGGGAGTGTGGCGGGTGGGTTATAGAGGAATCACAGAGCTGTCATTTTTTTCTCTCACCTGCCCAAATCTCCACCTAACCTGTCTGAACTTCCGTCCCCCTTCTATATCTGTGCCCCTTAACGGGTCTCTGTCCCCATCTCTCTCTGCATCTCTGGGTCCCTGTCCTCCCTTCTGAGTTTTTATCCCCCTCTCGGTCTCTGTCCCCCTATCCCTGTCTATACCGCCCCGTCTCTGTCCTTTCTCTATGGGTCTCTCCCTGAGTCTCTATTCCCTCTTCTCTCTGTATCCTCGCCCTCCCTCTCCGGTCTCCCCCGTCTGTCTCCTCCTTCTTTGGATCTCTATACCCCCTTTTCTCTCGTCTCTGACTCGGGGTCTCTTCTTTATATTCCTCTCCCTCCCCACCCTGCCTGGCCTTTCCCTGGCCCCCAGGTCTCTTGAAGGAAAAGGAGCGCAAGGCGGCTCTGCCGGCAGCAACGGTCCCCGGGCCGGGCCTGGAGACGGCGGGTCCGGCTGATGCCCCATCTGGGGCGGTGGTGGGCGGCGGGTCCCCACGGGGGCGCCCGGCGACCGCGCCTGGCCCAAGTCTGCTGGCGCCGCTGCTGTGGGAGCGGACGCTGCCGTTCGGCGACGTGGAGTACGTAGACCTGGACGCCTTCCTGCTGGAGCACGGGCTCCCGCCCAGCCCGCCGCCCCCCGGCGGCCCGTCACCGGCGCCCTCGCC